ACCGGTTTCGGCTAGGACCCAGCTTTTTGAGAGACTTGACTAACGGTGGGCAATGTAATTCCCCTCTCTGTGCCTCTTTCCTCCTTCAGTACATGTTACCACTCTCGCAGACCTCATTGAATTCTTTCCTTCCCCCTTTTCTCTTTTTCTCAATTCACATCCCCTGCCCCCCCAATTTGGTCCTTTGCTCACTAGCTTGTACACTCACTCAGCAAACATCACTGCCATCCTCTGTTAGGCGTTGCCTCTGCCCTGGGGGACACAAAGGATCCAGGACAGTAAAGTTGACACTGGGCGAGGCCACATCCAGGGGATGGGGACAATGGGAAACCCAGAGAAAAGGAAATGAAGTTTTCTAGAAAAAAATCAAGGCACACCTCTTGGAGTGGGTGCCTGTTTGTTGGGCCTCAGAGGTAGAAGATGGGGGCTCCCCCTTCACAACGACTTCCTGCCCCATCCCTCCCTTGAGCCCTATGATGTTGAGCATGAGGATTCAGGCCCTACCCCTAGAGATGAGGAAAACGGGCCCACGCTCACCTCAGGGAGACAGCTGAGCACAGAGGTGTTAGGAAGGTAATGCCCACAGCTCCATGGTGGGTGGGGCTGCCTGGCTCAGATGTCCCAACCACAGCTGCACGTCATGGTGCTCCCTGGCTGCGGCCTGAGCCTTCCCCAGGCTGCCAGACTTCGTTTCCCCTCCCTGGAGGGAGTGAACAGAGCCATACTAAGCCCCTCTGTGTGGAAAAGGGTTTCAGAACACTCACTGTGCCTCCTGGGTTGAGTGACTTCAACTTGTGGAGTCAGTTTCTGCATCCACACCTTGGGATGATGGTGTGCCAGAGTTGCCGAAAAGATGCCGCGAGCATGACAGCTCCTCCCCTTTTCTGAACTCTCCCAAAGTGCCTGTCACTGCCTATATATGTAATACTTTCAACAATAAAGAATTATTTTTTAAAATAATTTTAAATAAATTTAAAAATAAAAACAAAAAACAAAATCAATTGGACTACATCAAAATAAAAGTTTTTACACAGCAAAGGAAATCATCAACAAAACCAAACTGGTAGAAGATATTAGCCCAGTGGTTCTCAACCTGTGGGTCTCCACCCCTTTGGCGGTCGAACGACCCTTTCACAGGGGTCGCCTAAGACCATCCTGCAGATCAGATATTTACATTACGATTCCTAACAGTAGCAACATTACAGTTATGAAGTAGCAACGAAAATAAAGTTATGGTTGGGTCACAACATGAGGAACTGTATTTAAAGGGCCAGAAGGTTGAGAACCACTGGCCTACAGCAAGCTCTCAACTGCCCTTTGAGATCTACTATTGTTCTCATTTAACAGATGTGAGAAATAAGGCTCCGAGAGGGGAAGCTGCTTGCCCTCAGCAAGAAATTTGAGAGCTGAGGCGGCCAATTTTTTTCTAAAATGGTCCAGAGAGAGTAAATATTGGCTGTGTGGGCCAGTCTCTGTCACAACTACTCAGCTCTGCTGTAGTATTGCAAAAGCTGCCAGCAGGCAATATGTAAATGAAGGAGCGTGGCTGTGCACCAATGAAGTTTATTTGTGGACACTGACGTTTGAATTTCATATCATTTGTATGTCAGGAAATAGGCTTATTCTTTTGACTTTTACCAGCCACTTAAAAACAAAAAACAATCAAACAAAAAAATTCATAGTTTTCAGACTGTAGTTTGTTGATCTCTAGAGCTGATGCTGTTAATTGCTGTAATTCATTAACTTACTCACTCATTCCATAAATATTAATAGGCACTAGAGGTAGACTCGAAACTAGCCGTTGAAGATGCTCCTCTTCAGGAGATAACACTTTGGTGGGGACAGTAATCGTAAGCAAGTAAACAAACAAGAATATTCTAGATGGCAGAAAGGGCTAGTAAGGAAATTTGGTGGGTGATGCAACAGGGCCGAGGGAGGGGCACTTTCATTTGGGTTGTCTGAGATGGTGATCTTCGGAGTCCTCTGAATTCCTCTTTTCGTTCTTTTTGTCAGCTTAGGCAATCTTTGTCTGTCGCCCGCTGTGGGCTAGGGCTTCATAATAAACAGATTGGCTTCTTGGCAGGGCAGTGATATCGAGGGGAGGGCGCTGTGGCCTCAGCATGTTTAAAGCTTTCTTCCTGGTCGGTCAGATTTCTCAGAGATGGGCCTGTCAGCATCCTATCTTCTGGGTCCCGATGCTGAGCGGGGCCAGGGTTGCGGTGGGAAAGTTTTAGTGCCTGCATTCAGGTTCACAGGTTTGCTCAATAGTCCTGTGTTCAGAGAGATGTTTTCGGTCGATAACTGCTGTGCCTCTGACCAGAAACACTGCTATTTCCGCTCTTTGGGGGACAAAAGAAAACAGATACTTTCCCACCCTGATGGGAAGTGTAAAAAAAAACACAAAAAAAGGATCTACTTCAAAATGGAGCTGGAGTGCCATGTTAGAGAGACTTCCGTGCACATCTTATGTCTCAAAACTTTGGAATGTTAAAAAAAGGGCCAAATAACCTTGGGGCTGCGCTTAAGAAGCCTTGTTCCCCCCAAAAAAACTGTTTGTAAAGAAAGCAGGTATAACCTGGCTGGTGTGGCTTAGTGGTTGAGCATTGACCTATGAACCAGGTGGTCAAGGTTCTTCGAATCCCAGTCAGGGCACATGCCTGGGTTTCAGGCTCGATCCCCAGTGGGGAGCACACAGGAGGCAGCTGATCAATGATTCTCTTCCATCATTTAATATTTCTCTCTTTCCCTCTCCTTTCCTCTCTGAAATCAATAAAAATATATTTTAAAAAGAAAGCAGATAGAATGACTTACTGGACTAAAAATTAAAAACACTGTTTAGCATTAACAACACTGTTAAATGTACCAATAGAAATGCCTTCCGCCTATTGATGTAACTGTCCCCCTCCCCTTCTCATAAATACCCTTGCCTTTGTCTCCTAAGTGGGAGGAAGACTGGTTTTCTGCCTGAATTGGTGCATCCCGAATAGCTATTCTTTTTTATTTCAAATAAATGCTTGTTTCCACTCGCTTTAAAAGGCCTTTTATTTGTTGGTTAACCGGAGAAACACTGATGTCTCTTTTGGGAACTGACTTTCAGTAAACTCTTCTGTTTTAGTGGCCACCCATCACCCCCTCCTTCAGCGTTGGCGAGAGTCACCAATAACTGAACTTTGGGGGATGATGCTGGTGAAATTCCAAGAGGCAAATATTTGGCTTTCCACCCTGCTGGCTAGCCATTTTGTTTTGGGTTTCAAAACAATCACTGAACTGTCACTGCAGTGGGGTTTCAGAAGAGTGAAAGTAAAGGCTGATGCCCTGTTCATCATCTTGACCCAGAAGGATGGTGGGAGCCGAGGCTGGCTGCCAATGTGGAGAAAGAACATTCCAGTCAGAGGGACTGCAGGGGTGAAGGAACAACCTTGGTCCAATGCAGTGGGTTCTCCAACTCGGGCAAACCTCGGAATCTTCCGGTTGGCTCATTCAAACACCAATTGCTGGGCTGACAGCTGGGCTTTTTCCGTTCCCAGAGTGTCGAGAGACAATAGACGGAGGTGCTAGAATTTGCATAGGTGATGCTGTCGCTGTTGGTTTGGACACCACACGTTATAAACCGTTTACATAACGGAAGCATTTAGCACCTTCGCATTAACCTGAGCCAGTATCATTATGGTTTTTCTCTCTGTAATTCCCCAGCAGGGCCCAATGCTAGAACTTCGAGCACAGCATGGCATCCTATACCCAAATCCCCCCGCATTTCCTGGCCTGCTGGCGGAGGCCTGAGACCAACTGCCCAGTCCATCTTCCCATTGGGTCCTGGAGAAGCTCAGGGACTGACTAGTGTCCACCCGGCTGGTCTGGGCAGAGCAGGGCTTTCTTCCCATCTCTCAATCCAGGGTTGCTTCCTCTTTTGGGTTTTGAGTTATGGCAGCTTCTCTGCTCCTCCTCCCACCCCCGCCCGAGAGAAGGGAAATTTGAATTTCCTCTGTCTCAGTTGTGTCCTTTTCCTACAAGGGGAATTTCTCTACCTGGACTCTCCAGCCTTCCGCTTGTGGGGTCCAGGGGGGCTCCTGACAGGAAGTGGTCTTGGTGGGTGGGTGGGGGCAGGCCAAGGAAGGGCGAGGGTCCCGGAGAAGTTGAGAGAGGGAGGGGGGCGCCCCGAGTATGGCACTCAGGGTTCCACTGGGGGGTTTTGCTCCAGAGGAGAAGGCAGCTGAGGCCTGGCTGTCCTCTGATGGTTCTGCAGAAATACTGGATTTAGGGGATCCCTGGGGGGACCTGGGTGGGAGTGACAAGGAGGGGAAAGAGACAAAGAGACAAAGAGGTTCAGAAAGTGAGAGCAAGAGACAGAGGGAGGGAGAAAGGGAGAGAGGAGCGGAGGACAGGGAGGGACACTGAGACAGAGACAGGGAGAGTCAGAGCCAGAGACACAGACACAGACATAATAAGGGATAGAACCATCCCGAGACCCGGCCCAAAGCAGACAATCACTGGACACAGGGACAAATGGGGAGAGATGCACAGATAAAAGGAAAGATACAGAATTACAGAGGGGCACCCAGAGAGGAAGAGAGAGAGAGAGAGAGAGGCACAGAGAGAGACAGAAAGAGAGAGGGAGAGAGGCACAGAGAGAGACAGAAAGAGACAGAGAGAGAGACAGAGAGACACAGAGACAGAGAGAGAGAGGCAGAGAGAGAGACACAGAGAGAGACAGAAAGAGAGAGACAGAGAGACACACACAGAGAGAGGGAGAGAGAGAGAGAGAGAGAGAGAGAGAGAGAGAGAGAACAACGCGGGAGCAAGAAGCAGTGGGGCAGAGATTGGAGGGCGAGAGAGAGCAAGGAGACCAGAGATGAGACCCAGAGAAGAGAAAGCTAGGGAAAGCCTGGCTGGAGGGGGCGGGCGCTGGGATCCCCACCGTCTCCGCCCCGGAAAGCGGGGCTTCCGGGTTCACTATAAAGCGGGGAGCCCGGGACCCCGGTTTTAGCCGCCTACCGCTGGTCATGGGCTCCAGCTCGGACGCCGTCCCGGACCCCGAGGCCCCGCGGCCGCCCGCGTCCCCCGGCCCCGCCTGCCGCCGGCTGCCCTGGGCGCTGAGCGCCGCGCTGCTGCTGCTGCTCGCGGCCGCCTGCGCCGTCTGCGCCGTCCGCGCCTGGGAGCTGCCCCGCCGCCCCGCCTCGCCCGGGCCCTTGCCCCGCGCCCTGACTCCAGGCTGCCCGAGGCTTCCCTTCCGGACGCCAGGCCCGCCTTCCCGACTCCCCGCAGGTGAGATGCGCCCCTACTTGGGACTCTTTCTCTATCCTGCACCCTGGGCCGACCCCTTCTGCACCCCGAGTCCCGGAAAGCACCCCTTCTTTATCCAGGGACATGGGGGGCACCCCTGCTCACCTTGTACCCCGCGAGATCCCATCTGCATCCGGTACCCTAGGGCGGGCCTTTTCTCCATCGCGGACCCCGAGGGGCACTTCGAACCTTTGAGGGGACCCCGCTCTTTCCCCCTAACTCCCGGAGAACCTAGGTTTCCTCCCGGACCCCTGGGGTGTCCCCCTTTTCCTCCCAAGACCTCCCTGTTCCCAGCCACCTGGAGGGATCACACTTATTTTCGGTCTTGGGTCCTGGTGGGTGCTGTCCTTGCAGACCCCACGGATTGGGGCCGGTTGAGCCCCCAAGTTGAGGTGTGCATGTGCGTGGATGTTGGGGTGCTCTTTTGGAGGAGGGGGAAAGGAGAGCGGAAGGGCTGCGCAGACGCGGTGGGGCACTTTTCAGGGGGCTGCGGAGCGGTTGGGGGACCCTCCACTCACTTTCTGCCTTTCCTCCTCAGGATGTGGGCGTGTTCGCGCAGCTGGTGGCCCGAGATGGTGAGTGTCCTGCGCCCTCCCTCTGCCCCCCCCCCTGTACCGCCCCCCCCCTCCCCCGGGAGCGGGACACTGAGTGGGAGGGTCCCGGGAGCCGGAGGCCTCCTTCTGACTAGATGCTTGGTCACGAGCGCCGTCCTAGGGATCCAAAGGAAGTATCTATGAATGTGGACTAGGAGTAATG